AGGGGAAAGGAAAGAAGGGAAAAAAATATGAGAAAAGGAAAAAAATGGAAACAGAATCTTTGCAAATAGGGAAGGGTGGAGGGGGTGAAGGGAGGGCAGGGGAAGGGGGAAAATAAAAAAAGAACCAGGATATTCATGTAACGTTACAAGATCCCAATGATGTATGTAAATGTATTTTATACCTAAAATGTACCAATAAACTTAATGAGGGGGAAATACAAATGAGAGATCATGTGATTCAGACTACTAGTGGAAGTGACAAGTAGCAAATGGATTCTGGGTAAAGTCTGGAACTGATTTCATGTGCCTTTAAAACTGACTTAATGCCACTCAAATAGTGGTTCCTATTCCTTTTTTGTTTTGTTTTGTTTTATTTTTTGCAAGACTGGGGATTGAGCCCAGGGTCTTGTCTATGCTAGGTAAGTGCTCTACCACTGAGGTACACCAGCCTTCACCACCATCACCACCCGTTTTTCAAAATTTTGAGACAAGGTATGGCTAAGTTGTCTAGGCCGGCCTCAAACTTGGCATTCCTCCTGCCTGAGTAGGTGGGCTTACAGGCATGTGCCACCACACTCGGTTTCTATTCCAGTTTTGATCATCTCATACCATTGCTTATTAAATTAAAGTCTGGCCGGGGATTTAGCTCAGTGGTGCCACTGCCTGCCTCGAAAGCACAAGGTCTTGAGTTCCACCCCAGGTATCCCCCCCCAAAAAATTAAAGTCTGTTAATTCTACTTGATTTTTCTAAATTACTCTTCCATGTTTTGATTAAGCCCATGTGAAAAATGATAGTTCTTTAATTCAAAGGCTAATGACCAGAGTACTAGGTATTATACATGAAATTACAAGGCAGGTAGGAGTCCTTAATTTCAGTTTAATCAAGAAGATGGTAGCTGGGCGTGGTGGTGCACACCTGTGATCTCAGCGCTCAAGAGGCTGAGGCAGGAGGATTGCTGAGAGTTCGAGACCAGCCTGGGCTACATAATGACTTCAGAGCCAGCCTGAACTACAAAGCAAGATCCTGTCTCAAAAAAAAAAGAAAAGAAAAGAAAAGAAAAAGAAAAAAAGATGGTGTTCAGCTGAGCATAGTGGTGCATGCCTGTAATCCCAGTACTCGGGAGGCTGAGGCACAAGTTGAAGGCCAGCTTAAACTACATAGTGAGAACCTCAGAAAAAAAGACAGTGTTGGCAGAAATAGAGACACACACTTTAAAGTTGATAGGTTCAAAAGGAAAATCAAGTACATTTATAGAGTAGCATGGATCAGTTCTCTGAAATGATAAGATATGTATATGAGAGAGATGAGATGAAGATAAACAAATATTACTTTGAATAAGTCACAGAAGTTCTCTATTTTGGGTATCCTTATCTGTAAGATGGTTATAAAATAGTATTTGGTATTCCTATTTCTCAGGGGTGTGGTGAAGATCAGAAACAAAAATGAGAAAGCAAAACATAAAAAAAAAAATGAGAAAGCAGGTGTGAAAATGTTGCAAACTGAGTGATGTGACTCAAAGAAGAGAACCCTGGAGATTATTTCTTTAAGTAAGAACTTTTCTGTCTAGCCAGAGGAATGATACAAATGTTCCTTGTTTAACGACCTACCTGCTTAGTGACTGTTCGGACTTACTACCTTTTTTTTTTTGTACAGTTCTGTACATCTTGTTGATAGAGCCTCAGTGGCTTTTTTTGTACAGTACACCTTGTTTATCCAATACTGTAATTTTTGCTGATTGTACTATATAGTGCTGTACTATAATTTTATGTTCTATTATACACTACAGATATACAGTGCATGTAAGAGTTATGCAAATAAAACCAAAGTCATTAAGTTGGAGTTTCCTTTGACCATTTCTTTGTTCTGAATATTGTAATGTACTTAGTATATACAATTCCTCATTTAGCAACCAATTTATTTAATGATCTAGGTGGAGGAGCATAAGCTGGCTGTTAAAAGAGGATTACCTGTAACCTATTGTATTTAAGGCACATTCACTAACCGTGTTGTGCAAATAAACAGAGCATTCATGAAAAGGCAAATGTCTTCAAAATATGTATTATTTCTATAATTTTTGATCCTGGAGAAAATAAGCCACCTGACATGTTTTGGATATTGAGGCAAAATAAGCAACCTCTGTTTTTCCTCAATATCCAAAAAGTATATGGTTTGCCTGTTTTGATACAGAAGGGAGTGATTTGGAGCAAGGTCTTTTGAGACCTGTTGGTCACATACAATACAGGCAGAACAGCAGTGCCAAAGGGCTAGAAAAATTTATCAGTGCATTCTTTTTATTGGGCTCACTTCTAGGGACTATTTGCTTCCAGGAGTTCCTCAGGTAATAATAAAAACTGATTCATTTGGAGTTAAATAAATTCTCAGATGTAAACAAATTCTTCAGAAGTGGTGTTACCTTTGAAACTTTTTGACATGTAGAAATGTCTCATACGGGTGCACATATTTTCTCAGAGGTTATATATATGCTTCTGAACCACAGGAAACAATTCAACAATTAAATTATCACTGTTATTCTTGGCTCTGTGATTGTTTTATGTATTTAATTTTTGTCTTATACTCCTGGCAAGTAAGCTCCTTTACTACATACTTTATATGTTTTTCTTTTTTTTTTTTTTTGGTACCGGGGATCAAACTCGGGTCCTTACGCTTGTGCAGCAGGCGGCGAAACCACTGAGCTAAATCCCCGGCCCCATTTATATGTTTTTCTATCCTCCAAGGTGTTTACTGCAGAGGTGGACAGAGCAGTGGCTCCATTAATGCCAGTTTCACTGTCGAGGATGTTTGGCATTTCTAATGATTTTTACACAGTCAAGAAGGTTCATGGTTCTGTGACATCTTAGCAGTAGTATTTCAGTTTTATTGGGCCCTTGAAATGACCTGCAGAAGCTCCTTCATGAATGGGCCAAAACTGCACATCAAAACACAGCTTCCAGGTCCAGAGATTTAGCTCAGTGGCGCCGTGCCTGCCTGGCAAGCACAAGGTCCTGAGTTTGATCCCTCGTTCTGGAAAAAATTTTAAAAATTAAAAATAAATAAAATAGAACACAGCTTCCAGCAATATCAACTGTATGATCAATGTAACTTTGAAGAATTCATGGAAGCTGCTAAGATGCTAGAAAATGGCATGTGAAGAAATATAGAAACAGAAGCTTTGATTTGCTAAAGGTCATCAATGGATTACATCTATTTTTTTTCTTTCCTGTACTGGGGAACGAACTCAGGACCTTGCACTTGCCAGCCAGGCATGGCGCTCCTGAGCTATATCCCTGGCCCTAATGTATCTATTTTGCTGTCATGATTATTGATAAACACTTACTATATCATTGCTGTATCATAAGATATCCTGGATTTCCTGAATGATTTGATTTTTTTTTTGGTACTCGGGATTGAACTCAGGACCTTGTGCTTCCCTGGCAGGTATGGCATTACTGGGCTAAATCCCCAGCCCTCCTGAATGATTTTCATCCCTGCCTTTTCTGTTCTGACATGTGAGGGATCAGTATTGCCTGAACTCACCTGATGTGATGATTTGTTGGTGGCTGCTGTGTTTTATTTTAAAGGTACTGGAGAGCATATGTTCTTAAGAAAAACCATTTTCATTGAACTATTTTGGTAATATGATGTCTAATACAAATGTTCCTCACTTAATGACCTACCTGTTTAATGACTATTTGGACTAATGATGGAGGTATCCTGTTTGGACTTACGACCTTCCACTTGGACTTACAATCTGTCTTTTTTTGTACAGTTCTGTACATCTTATTAGAGCCTCAATGTCTTTTTTCTGTTTAGTACACCTTGTTTACATAGTACTATAATTTTGACTGGTTGTACTGTAGAGTCCAGTACTATAGTTGTATGTTTTGTTATATATTACAGTACTGCCTGTAACAGCAAAGTCATCAGTGCTGCAAATATAAGCAAAGTCATCAAATTGGAGTTTCCTTTTGACTATTTCTTTGTTCTGAATATTGTAATGTACATGCTATGTACAATTCCTCATTTAGCAACCAATTACTTGAGAACCTAGCTGCAGGAATGGAACTTGGTCATGAAACAAGGAGTGCCTGAAGTATTTCAATGTGGCATGTGTTCCTACCTCTTAGGGTGCTTCAGCGTCTGCTAAATAGGCTTCACCTGTCAGTGAAGCTTCAGTTCTGCCTAGCTTCTAAATTAATGTCCATCCTTGTGAGCAGCTTATCTCTTTCAGGTAGCTGAGCATCAAGGTGGGACATGTTTGTAAATACAAACACTTAATTCCCAGTGATAATAGGATTGCAATATTAACTTTTCTTTGGCTAAAGGTATTTGGACACCTGTAATCCCAGGACTGGGGAGACTGAGGCAGGAAGATTGCTTTGAGTTCAGGGATAGCCTGGGCTACATAGTGAGTTCAAGGCCAGCCTGAACTACATAGTGAGACCTTGTTTCCAAAAAAAAAAAAGGTATTTGGACAGGAATGCCCCAATTTAAGGAAATATTTAAAAATCCAAATTTATGGACTATGTAACTAGAAGATTAAAATTTGCAGTTCCAAAGGATGCTTTGTTTTATAAAATAATTTATTTTAATGAGAAATATTAAATAAGATTTATTTATTTGCAGTACAAAGGATTGAACTCACGGCCTTAGCTACATTCCAGCCCCTATTTGTTTATTTAGAAATAAGGTCTCACTGAGCTGTTAAGTTGCTCAGCTGAGCTCAAACTTCTGATCCTTTTGCCTCAGTCTCCCAAAGTGCTGGATTTCTTTTTAAATAGAAATCTCTGTTAGAAGTTATTCTCTAGTAATACACACAGGCTGAAAGGTCTATTGATAGGCTTTACATATTGCTGTTTGTTTTGTAGGGTTTTTTGTTTTGTTTTTGTTTTTGTTTTTGAGACAGGGTCTTGCTGTATAATTCAGGCTGGCCTTAAACTCACTGTGTAGCCCAAGCTAGCCTCGAACTTGTGTTGACCCTCCTGCGTCAGCTTCCCAAGTGCTAGGATTACAGGCATGCGCCACCACGCCCAGCTGGTTTTGTGTTTTAAGATCTAACCCTCATTTTTACATATCTAGAAATTAGACTACCTGGTCAAATCTCCCATTTTATCTATAGAAATTGAGCACAAAGGAAATTAATTTGTCAAAGGTGATCATATCATAATAAACACAGTTGAGTATGGTGGCACACACCTGTAATCCCAGAACACTGAGAGCCTGAGGCAGGAGGATTGAAAGTTTGTGCTCAGCCTGGGCAACAGACTTTGCCTCAAATAAAACTGGGGATGTAGCTCATTGTAGAGACCCTGAAAAAAAAATTATAACATCATAATAAACACTAGCTTGATGTGATTTCTCCTCTGCCCCACAGTTTCATATGAAGTAACTAAATAAAATAACTAAAAATAAGTTCACATTAATAAAATTTCAAAGGGCATAACCCATCTACCAAAATGACATTTGAAAAAAAGTTTACATAAGAGGAAAGTATCTGTCAAGTGGATCAGATAGGACATTTTTGTCTTCTTAGTACACTATTCTAAATAGATTGGTCCCTGCGAAACTAACACATAATTGGAAAGATTTCTCTTTTTGGAGATACAGGATCCTGCTCTGTTGTCCATGCTGTCCTTGAACTCCATCTTCCTGCCTCAGCCTCTTGAGTAGGTGAGAGTACAGGACACCAAGTCTAGCTTGCAAAATTTCTTAATACAGAATCTGAGCAATATGAACTAGGTAGTATAAACCATTATCCTAATAGAGACCTAATGAGCTGGGTGTGGTGGTGCACACCTGTAATCCTGGCACTGGAGAGCCTAGAGCAGGAGGATCTCTGTGAGTTCAATCCCAGCCTGAACTACATAGCAATAGATACCTTGTCTCAACAAAACAAAACAAAACAAACCCCAAAAGACCTAATGAATCATTTTTTACCACTAGAAGGAAATATTTATAACAGAGGTTTTTTTTCATTAGCTAAATTTCAAACAGTAATACATCTTACCTTTTTCTTTATTTCATGTTGACCCATGTCTTCTGATGACCTTTTGTGTTGCAGAATATTTTTTCTTATAGTTTCAAATTCCTATTTAACTGTGAGGATATTTTCATGTATTGGCTTCTTTCTCTGACAGCCTCCTATGCAGACTGATTTCATTCACAGTGTGGTAACTTCAGTGTTTCTCTTTTACAACCTTGTAAGTTTGACCATTTATATAATTTTTACTTCTCCCCTATTTGAGATCTATTGCATCCAGTTACTCCATTTGAATTTAAATTCAGAATAGGCAGTTTCAAACTTTAAAAAAGGGTTGTTTCAAAAGTCCATTCACTGGGCTGGGGATTTAGCTCAGTGGTTCCACCACCTACCTCACAAGCGCAAGGTCCCGAGTTTGATCCCTGGTACCAAAAAAGTTCATTCATGCTGGATATTTGTTGTTTTTGTTTTTGTTTTTGAGTCAGGTTCTCACTATTTACTTCAGGTTGGCCTTGAACTCACAGCCCAGACTGGCCTCAAACTCACAGCAATCCTCTTGCCTCAGCCTCTTGAGTACTAGGATTACAGGCATGTGCCACCATGATGGGTTCATGATAGATTTTTACAGGCACAGTGGCTGTAAATGTCTGATACTCAGGAGATTAGGCAAGAGGATTGCAAATTCAAGGCCAGCTTGTCTCAACTTAAAAATAAATGAGGCTGGGGATATACCTCAGTCATAAAGTGCTTGCCTAGTGTGGACAAGGTCCTGGGTTCAATCTCCAGTATTGCAAAAAATATCAATTTATTAGTTAGTTGTTTGAGATTCATCACTTTGGTTTCATAGAAATGTGTGATGCATACTGGTTAGGTTCCATACTAACCCATAGACATCTATTCTACATGGTTCAAATAGTAAAAGGTATTAGCTTAAATTCTTCTTCTGAGAACCAGCTAGCATGTCATGAAGGAAGGAGACTCTTCCTCCTTCTCTGAGAGGCTAGCTCAGGGCAAATTTTTTTTTTTTTTTTTTTTTTTTTTTTTTTTGTACCAGGGATCCAACTCAGGACCTTGCACTTTCAAGCCAGGCAGCAGAACCACTGAGCTAAATCCCCGGCCCTGGGCAAATTTTTTAATTAGGTCAGATTGATTTTTGACATTTCTTCTTTTCCTTACCCTCCCCTTTTCCTTTTCAGGAATTTCTAAAAGCTACTGTTCCTAACTGCCCTGGATCCTCCAATGCATAGCACTACATTCACCCCACCTGGAGCACTGCAGACTCCAAAATGACAAAAGCCCACCCTTCCTCATCACTACTGCCACTGACTCAAGCAGGCTGTCCACAAGTTAAGAGGAAACCAATCTGACTGATTTGATAATGAGCGACTGAAAGCCCAAAATTCTGCTAGAGATTTTTGAGATTTTAAGAGATTTTTTTCCCACACATTATCATCGGTGATATAATTTTATAATTTTAGAAAATAAAATAAAATGAGTGAAACACTCAAGTCATATGAGGTTGTATAATTTAATATACCTGGGCCATATCCTGAGAAACTCTACTTATTTCCTATTCTCCAGTCTAGTTTTTTAAAGTTCCCCCGTTATTCTGCTTATGAGCCCCCAGTTTCTCTACAAGTGTCAAGTCTTATTTTTCCTGCAGTATATCAGCAGCACATATGATTCCCTGTATAAAAAGAGGAACCACCTATACAAATCTATTGATCAGAAACTACTTGAACAGAAGAATTCATGGGAGAAGGAGAGGAGGGTAGAAGCAGAGAAATTTAAGGCTTAAACCAAGAACCACTGCCCCCAAACCAGCCATGGTGGTACATTCCTGTAATCCCAGCATTCAGAAGTCTGAGACAGGCTGATCATAAGTTTGAGGGCAGCCTGAACTATAACGTGTTTTAAAAAAATTTTTTTTTTTGGGTGCTAGGGATTGAACTCGGGTCCTTGCGGTTGCAAGGCAGGCAGTGTTACCAGTGAGCTAAATCCCCAGCCCTTAAAAAATTAAAAAATAAAAAAGGAACCCTTGACCACCAGCTATGAGGAAACAAGAATGTAAAGTGTGGTGAAGGTAGGAATGCAAAATGGAATTTCCTGTGTGCAGGGTAATTTAACAAAACCTATCAAACCTTTTTATGTAGCAATCCTGCTTCTTAGAATTTTATCTTCTTTTTGGGGGGGGAGGGTACTGGGGATCGAACTTGGATCCTTGCACTTGCGAGGCAGGCGGTGGAACCACTGAGCTAAATCCCCAGCCCAAAATTTTATCTTCTTGATAAATTTAAGATATACTAGAAGAATATATAAATTCAGTGCTTGCAGCATTTATTCTTTTATTTGCAAAAGGCTGGAAACAATCAAAATGTCCATCAGTAGAGGGCTAGTAGAATAAATTATAGTTCATACAGCTGTTGAAAAGAATGAGACAGGGCTGGGGGTGTATGTAGCTCAGTGGTGGAGCATTACTCAGTATGTGCAAGACTCTGGGTTCAATCTCTAACATCACACACATGCACACAGGCAAATTTGTGTATTTGGATATGGAACAAACCTATAAGATACATTGTTAAATGGAAAAAAAAGAAAAAAAGAACAAGGTGCAAAGTAGTGTGTATGGCTGGGCATGGTGACACAGGCCTGTAATCCCAGCACTCATCCTAGGCTACATAGCAAGACCCTGTCTCAAAAAATTTTTTCTTAGGAAAATAAAATCTGTAAATCTGTCCTGTTTGAATATTTTACTGTATAAATTTAAGGCTTTTTTTTTCTGGTGTTGGGGATTGAACCCGGGGCCTTGCACATGCTAGGCAAGCACTCTCCTACTGAATTACACTCTCAGCCCTACTGTGTGCGTTTAAAAGAAATAAAATTTTTTTAAAAAGTTGTCAAAAGAAGACTCATCAAAAGTGCAGATTGTACGAAAATCACAGGATACTAGATCTAGAAGTGACCTTAGAGATTAGAAAACTGATTCTCAGGATATAGATTTGCCCGAGGGGAATAACCTACTTCCTTGTGGCGTTACCACCAACCACCATCAAGGTTGTCAACTAAAACTCAGTGTCTACCCCCATCTCCTTTTCCAATCTCACCTTTGCCTGTTAGGAGAGATCCAGTCTGAAACTTAGATGTGAAGATTAGGTAACAGGTTGGAGAGGCAGAGTTGTATCTGCAAGGAGCAGCAGAGACTGTCAGGTTCTTCAGAATATGCTTGGCCTCTGGCCTTCCGTCTGAGTATAAAAGGTTGACTTGCACTTTGTCCCCAGAGCCAAGGCACTGCAGGGTAGCCACAGTTCAATTTTGGGTGAATGTGCCCCTTTGGGCTTCTGTGTGAGCTTCTGGAAGGAGAGCCACACAGAAGAATAAATCTTGTTCTTCAGCAACTGAATAGTGCCCAGCTAACCTACTTGCATTCATAATCCCTATTAAATGCCACCACTTGTGGGTACAATGGGGCATGCCTGTAATCCCAGCTACTTGGGAGGCTGAGGCAGGAGAATCACAAATTTAAGGCTAGCCTGGGCAAGTGAGCAAGACCCTATCTCAAACTAAAATAGAAAGGGCTGGAGATGTAGCTTAGTGCCTCCTAGGATCAACCCCCACTACCAGAAAACCTCCCCAATAAACAACATAAACTTCCATTGTTGTGCTTTCCCATGTTTCAGTTCACCTCCTCCTCAGTATATATTTATGGTACTAAATATCCAAGTCCTGCTTTTCTTCAGTCCTGCCATAGGTCCCATGAAGATGGTAAATCAGCATAAGCAAATGGTTATAAATTGTTTTCTAGGTGCTGCCTTCTCTCTCTTCATGGCCTCATTTGTTTGATTTATATAGCTATGCCTTAGGTAATCAGTTAATTTAAAAATTAGTTCCTGTTCAATCCCCACTACCACAAAAAGAAAAAAATTAGTTTCCAGAAAGCCTGGGGGGGATACATGTCTTTAAAATAAGATATTTGAGCTCTGAACTAAAAAGGGAGAGATAAGGCTTATTTTATTTTGTTTTATATTTTTTGAGACACGGTCTCACTATATAGTCCAGGCTGGCCTTGAACTCATTCTGTAATGCAGGCTGGCCTCAAACCCAAAATGATCTCCCTGGCTCAGCCTCCTGCCTCCCGAGTGCTGGGATAACAGGTGTGTGCCACTAAGCCCAGCCAAGATAAAGAATCTTTTAAAAGTGAAAATTTCTTAGAATAGCAAAGTGATTTTCCAGAAAAGGTGTATTCCCTACCTTGCATTAGCAAGTCCCTGATGCTTCTCACATCCTTTGGGAAGAGCCCAGGCAGCTGTTCCACTTGGCAAGTGTTATCTCTGAGATCTGGGGCGGAGTAGGGAGAAGAATTAGAATTTACTGGGTCCTTATTAGAATTCTGGGCATCGGAGGGGGATACAAAAGAATGAAGTTCCTGCTTATAAAACTTGCAACTGGGGAAATCAAACACTCCCTAAAAAAAAAAAAAAAAGACTAAAACACAGACTAGGAGGAGTTAGCCTATTATAAAGAAAGCTCGGGGGGAGGGGGGGATTTAGCACAGTGGCACCGAACCTGCCTCACAAGCGCAAGGTCCTGAGTTTGATCCCCGTTATCAGGGGAAAAAACATAAAGAAAACTTAGTACCAATCTATTACTGTTAGAGAAGTGAAAGAGTTAAGTAAAGTTACTAAGTTAATGAAAGACTAACCAACACATTCCCTCAAAAAATGCCTATTTTCTCTTCTCGCACCTGTTCTGTCTGCTGCATTAAAGAGAACTTCGGAAAGTTTATTAAGAATTGCCTTGTAGTAGTATCTCTATAGATTCCACAGAGCTATAGGTCATATTTATTTATAGTTTTTCTAATATCTCTATAGATTCCACAGAGCCAAAGGTCATAGTTATATATAATACTTTCTGGCACATGACTCAAAGGGCTTAGAACTTTTCTTAATTTGTTAAATCGGTTACTGCTGTATCTTAGGATATTTTGCCTTAACTCTGATTAACTAATTGTAAAAATGAAATGCTTAGGGAACTGAAAAATCACATTTTATTTTATTTATTTATTCTTTTTTGGAGACAAGGTCTCACTATGCAGTTGAGGCCGGCCTCAACTATGAAGCCCATGCTGGCCTCAAACTCTCAGCGATCCTGCCTCAGCCTCCCAAGAGCTAGGACTAGAGGCATGCACTACCATGCCTGGCCAAAAAAATCACATTTTGAATAAACAGTTACCAAAGAGTAGTAAAATAGTGCCATTCTACCCTGTATCACCTTTTCCCTCAGCTCTCCCCACCCAAGAGCATCCTTATCTATTTGAATGTGCCACCTTATCAACAAAGGGGGCATTTTATGAGAGCTTATGAGTTTGGGAATCTTAGATGAGAACACTACCAAAACCTTGGCAGTACCTTCTTGTAAAGAAAATTGCCTGATAGTGAAAGGATTTCTAATGCTGTTTATGTGCACAGAATAATGCATCACCATCCATCTCTCTTGAGTTGAGTAAGTTACAATCCTGCCTAGAGGCAAGAGAATACATGGGATATCTTCTGGAAAATATCACTTGCTAGATACTGGCTAGATCCCTATCTGGTGGAAAAGACCCCAAATTCTTTCTAGGTCTCTCTTTGGATTTTCCATGATATTAGGCTAGAGAGGTACTTACCTTTCTCCTTGGAATCATAGGATGCAATGATTAGGCTGAAGACTAAGATGGTGTCCATGTTAGTTTAAACACATGAATTTGAACACTCTGCAAAAACAGTTCACTGTTAATCTGCATAGCCTTTGGAAGCCTTGTTTCTAATTGTTTTACTTGCCCTAGAACCAAGTTTCACCCTGTGAGAGGCTGGTTCCACCCTAATTATTTTTGCTTTATTTCCTGAAGACCCAGGACTAGAGCTGATTGGAAAAACAGCCAGGTCTGCTTATTAACGATTGACTTAGAAGGTCTTCCCCTGACTTTGTTGCTGGCACTGGCATAAAGAACTATAATTACCTACTGGTTTTCCTAGCAGAAAGGGTATAAATACCCAGTGATAAGCTTTACAAATACTTGTAGTTAGACACGTAGTCATTTACATGAATGCTCACTGATACAGTAACATAGATGTACTCACCAATCTACAGAGATATGGTGATTTCTATTAAGGAGTGTAATTTCTAGAATAGAGCGGGAATATAGGACTAAATGTGTCAGTGACTTACACTGGAGTAACAATCAATAGAATTGGGTTCCAGTATGAGCCCTGTTGTTAACCATATCATCTTGAGGAAACTATTTGACTTCTCAGGAACTCAATTTTGTGTACACTGAAAAATCCCAAAGGATCTCTAGAATTCATTCATAGTTATACTCATAAACTCACATGAGCCTGGCATGGTGGTGCACACCTGTAATCCCAGCTGAGGCAGGAGAATCGCTGAGAGTTTGAGGCCAGCATGGGCTTCATAGTGAGCTCAAGGCCGGTCTGAACCTCATAGACCTTGTCTCACAAAGAAACAAACAACATAAACTCACATGAGCACAGACATAGGTATGGAGTTCTGCACATTTTCCACTCCTGAATAGTGGAGGGAGCATGGTTAGAAACATTCCTATGACTTGGATCAAGAGGTTTTGAGAAAGAGCTAAATACGATAGATGAGTAATATTGTCTGCAGTTTGGAAAACTTTTCAGAGACAGACAATTTCTGTTGAAGACTTTCCCAAAATTGTATCTTTTAGCAAAGTGTACACATCTGGTGTAATACTTTAATGACTTTTTCATGGTGTAGCTAAGTGGATCATAAAGGAGAAATGAATCTACTCAGATAATTGCCTAAATCCAGAGCCTTTGCAGTCTTCCTATCCACTCTAAATGTACTCCATTAGAGCCAACATGGGTTTTTCTATGGATGAGAAGGTTCTGGAAGCAGAAACTCTGATTGAGAATGATATAAAAGGAGTTCAAGGGACTGCTCATGAGGACTTCATGAATCTTGAATCAAATCATAATTTAAATATCACCTTATTTCCTGACACAATACAGATTATATTTGGCTAAATTGAGCATCACAGAAGTCTTGGTGGGGAAGGATAAAGGAAAGAGATGTCACTGAAGGATGGCATGTTTGTTGGCTGAAATGTGGATGGAGGAGCAGTGCTGGGCATGCAGCCTCAGAGCAAATCTTTCTTGTTACTGTTTCTTTTCCCTGCTACAGTTGCCAGATTCTCTTAGCACAGAACCGAGTTAGGGCAGAATGAAGGGCTCTATTGCCTTCATGATTTGGGGGGAGGGGTACTGGAGATTGAACCCAGTTCCTTGTGATTGCTAGGTAAGTGCTCTAGGGCTGTGCTACATCCGATATTTTATTTTATTTTTAAAGACAGGGTTTCCCTAAGTTGGCCGGGCTGCCCTTGAAATTGTAGTCCTCCTGCCTCAGCCTCCCAAGTAGCTGGGATTAGAGGCATGTGCCACTATGGCCCACTGGATATTATGATTTTTATTGGTATTTCCTTAACGTGATTACATATTTTTCTATTCCTTTGCAATATTGAGACCTTCCCTGCTGTTGTCCTATCTAAAAATGTCTGTAGATTTAATTTCTAGATGCCACAGTGTGGTGCTTCCACCTTGCAGCAGAGGTAGGAGTGGATCTGAGGGTTCACTGTTGTCATCCTATGTCACCAGGTGACAGAAGAACTCACTTTGCTGTGCCTGGTAGCTCATGCCTGAAATCCCAGCACTCGGGAGGCTGAGGCAGAAGGATCACCACAAGTTTGAGGCCAGCTTGGATTATATATTGAGTTCAAGACCAGCCTGAACTACATAGTGAGACCTTGTCAAAAAACAAACAAACAAACAAACAAAAAAATCTCACTTTACTCAAAAAAGAAGGTGTGCTTGACCAAAGATGAAGTCAAAGAATTTTTCTTTTTTCAACTCTCAGACCCTTTTTATTTTATAACTCAGAAACCCAAAAGTTATCCTGCATATTTGAGTAGGCCATGGTGTGGGGTATAGAGAAGCAGGAGAGTTTCATTTTTCAGTTTACAAGTCAAAATATGTACTGGTAGAGAAATGGACTCAGAACTATACCTCTGCTGCTAGATATTTAGCTGATTTTCTAAGTGTTTGGTATATCTATGGAGGAGGAGATTCCCTTCTGATCTCCTTTCCCATCCCCCCTCCCCACAAAACCCATTAAAGTTAGAAGTGTAAGTGAATTTTATTTTGTTTAGAGATGTGGCCTCTTTTGTTTTGTGGTACTGGGAGATTGAACCTAGGGCCTCATGCGTGTTAAGGCATGAATCAGAATGCAGGAGGAGCACTTGACAGAAAGCCAGGAAGCCTTCTGAGGTTCTAGATTAGCTTTGGTAATTGAACCACTTTGAGCAAGTCAGTTAACCTCTCTGCATGAGCCTTTCTTTGAATTTCTTTAATGAAGTGGTTGAAAAGATGATTTTCAAGGCTTCCTCCAGCTCTAAAATGATCTTACCTCCAAACTGTGCTACTCTTTCTTTTAAGGATGTGTTTTGTTTTGTTTTCAAAAAAGTTTATGGTAGAATATATCATACATACAGAAAAGTATATACAATGTAAGTATATTTTAAATAGTCACAATAGTAATGTACGTATAAGGTGAATACTATGTAACCATCATCCAAATTAAGAAACTAAACATTGCCAGTATCTTAGAAGCTCTTTATATAAAGTCTGTCCCTCTGCTCATACCCCTTTCATTCTCCCAACTATGATTTTTCCATGCTTTGTAAAAATAGTGAGCTGTGTATCACTAAAAATATTCTGCTTAATTTTGCCTGCTTTTGAACATTATATAAATTGAATCATACTCTATGTTTTGTTTTGTTTGTTTGTTTTGGTACTGGGGATCAAACTCAGGACCTTGTGCTTGCCAGGCAGATGCAGTGCCACTGAGCTACATCCCCAACCCCATCTATGTATTTTATTTTTAATTCATTTTCATTCCCCCCCCCCATTTTGAGACAGGGTCTGCCCATGTAGTAAGGTTGGCCTTGAACTTACTGTGTATCCCAGCCTGGCCCTGAACTCTCAATCCTCCTGCCTCAGCCTCCCAAGTACTGGGATTAGAGGTATGGGGTACCACATCCAGTTTGTAATACATTTTTTAAATAATACATAGTAGTTATACATATTTATGGGATTATACTGTAATATTTCAAAACATGGGGTTTTTTTTGTTTTTGGTACCGGGGATCAAACTCGGGACCTTGCGCTTGGAAGGCAGGCACCAGAACCACTGAGCTAAATCTCTGGCCCTCAAAACGTATACAATTTGTAATGATCAGATCCGGGCAACTGGCGCATATATATATATCTTCAGACATTTATCTTTTCTTTGCGTTGAGACTATTGAAAATCCTCCTCTCTACTAGGTTATTTTGTTTTGTTTTGTTTTGTTTTGTCTTTAGTGCTGGGGATAGAATTTGGGACCTTACACTTGCCAGACAAGTGCTCTGCCACTGAGCCAAACCCCAGCCCCTCTACTAGCTATTTTGAAATAAGCATTGTCAACCATAGTTATCCTACTGTTATAAAATATTAGAAGTTATTCCTCTTATCCATGTGTACCCCTGAACTCATTAACCATCCTACCTATCCCTTTCTCATGTATTTTAAAATAAAATTTTTTATTATGTACAACACCATAAATATACCTTGCTAACCACACCCTAGAAATGCTCTTATGTCTCTCCCAGTCACTCACCATCAGGAGTATTATCTAGATTCTTATTACCATAAGTGAGTTTTGACTATTTAAAAAATAAGAAACAGGGCCAGAGATTTAGCTCAGTGGTGCCGCTGCCTGCCTCGTAAGTGAAGGTCCTGAGTTCGATCCCCGGTACCCCCCCCCAAAATAAATAAATAAAAAAAAATAAAAATAAGAAACATACATGCCCATTTTTTTTGGTACCAGGGATCAAACTCGGATCCTTGCGGTTGCCCAGCAGGTAGTGAAACCACTGAGCTAAATCCCTGGCCTGAAACATACATTATATATGCTTGTTTGGCCTTCTTTCTTTGCTCAATATTATGTTTATAAAATTCATCCCTATTGCTTCATGTACCAATTGTTTGTTCATTTTCATTGTTTTATAATATTCCATTGTATGAAGTACCACAGTTTATCCATTCTATTGCTGAGAGGCATTCGTGTTCTTTCCAGTTTGTAGCCAAATATTCTTGGGGCACATTTCAAAGTTTCTCTAGGGTATAAGTCCAGACGTTGAAGCTGCTTATAGGTTATGGAAGGTATATTCAGCTTGACTAATTAATGGCAAACTATTATTTATTTACTTGGAAATACTGGGGACTGACTCCAAGGCCTTTGCACTGAAATACATGCCTAGCCCCTTTAAAATATTTTTTCTTTCAATTTTAAAAATTTATTTGTTAGTTTTACAGTACTAGGGGTTGAACTTAGGACCTTCACAATTATCCCTATCCCTTTTTGTTTTTTAAAGTTTGTTTGCAAGATTTTTAAAAATTAAAAATTTTTATTAGTACACGTTTGCAGTTAATAATGATTACATCCATCATGGGGAGTTTGTGGATATACATAACACATCTTAATTCTTTTTACTTTCCCTTCCCTTTATCTCATCTTCTCTTTTAGTTTTTATTTTGAAATAGGGTCTTACTAAGTAACTAAGTTTCCCAGGCTAGGTTTGAACTTGTGATCCTCCTGCCTCAGCTTT